TGAAGTCTGGAGGATGCCCACTTTCGGAGGCCATGAAGAATGTATGCCCTTGGGGAGCCCGGACTTCATAGGGATTCGTGGGCCTAGTCTTCAGCTTTTCTGAGACGAGTAGGGAAAAACCATCTAAGCCCTACACTTCGGAGAACAGGGAAGCTTCCTTAGACTGAAGCCTGAAGTGTGTGACAGTCCCAAGTTGTACTAAGTCAAAGAACTGTTGTTACCTTGACTCCGACCAGAGCCCTTGCCAAGAGCAGGGAGCAAGCTTCGTGAAAGTATGATCATGTCCTAGAAACTAAAACAGGATGCTCTTCTGGAGACAAGACAGCTACATACTTAGACTAATAGTCTCATTGCAAATCATTTGAGCTGAAAGATATTTTTAATCTTTTGTAATTTTTTTATTTTATTTTATTTTGGTTTTTCGAGACAGGGTTTCCCTGTAGCTCTGGCTGTCCTGGAGCTCACTCTGTAGACCAGGCTAGCCTCCCCAGGGCTAGGACTAAAGGTATCTACCACCTCCCGGCTACCTATGGTTTATTTTAAAATCAGCTTTTGGTTGTTTTCCTTTGTTTACTAATTTTGTTGTCTATTTTATTTATTTATTGCTCTTGTTTTTAATGCCCTTGCCCTTGGGGGGCCAGAAAGATGACTCAGCAATTAAGAACATGTACTGTTTCTGCGCCATCACCCATGTCTGGCAGCTCACAGCTGCCTGTAACTCCAGCTCTAGGGGATCTGATGCCCTTTGGATCCTGTGGGCACTGCACTTACATGAACTATAGTCCTGACACATAATTTAAAAAACAATAAAAATGAATCTTTTTCTCTTTTTTGAGACAGGAAAATGAATGTGAAATTCATTCACCTCTCTGTGGTATTGATTGGCCTAGCTTGCTATGTAGACCTGGCTTGCCTTGAACTCACTGAGAATCTCCTACTTCTGTCTCTGGACACCCAGCCTAGCGTGCTTGGAGTCAGCCCGGGCTGTGTTGGTGATAGAAGAAAATGACAGCCATTTGTGGTCTACACTGAGATGTACCCAGGCCCTTTTCACTTTATGTATATATTTAGTTTTAGTTTTTTAAGATGCCTTTATTTTATTTTATGTGCATGAGTGTTTTGCCAGCAGAGGGTGGCAGAGTCTCCAGAAATGGAGCACAGGTAGCTGAGAACCACAGTGTGGGTCATGGGAACTGAATGTGGGTTCTCCGCAAGAGCAGCCAGTGCTCTTAATCACTGAGCCACCTCTCTAACCCTCCCTTTCAAATATTTATTTATTTGTCTATTTATTTATTTGCTGGTTTTTCTGAGACAGGATCTCCCCATGTAGCCCTGCCTGTCCTGGAATTTACTGTGTAAGTCAGGCTGGCCTTGAAGCTGTGATTCTCCTTACTCTGACTCTGCAGGACCTGGTAGGACCTACAGCTCTAGGCCTGGCTTAGTTATGAAGATTTTAACAGCCTATGGAATGGGGCTTTGGAAAGAGACTTCTTGGAACTCAAGTCTTGGTCCTGTGGATAATCAGAGTCAAAACTTGTGCTTTAAGTTACAGTTAAGGCTGCCTTATGGATACAACTAGTGGAAACTTCAATTTGCCCCTTCTTTTGTTCATTTGCTAAACACCCTTCTGCACTTTCCCTGCCCCATGGGAGGACTGGCAGCAAGTATCTGGCTCACTGTGACATTGAAGGTGGGGCCTTTCTCATGTCATGTGAACATAGTGAGCTCTAGGACAGCCAGAAAGAGAGACCCTG